GGACCTAACTAGGTCCTAGGAGGGACCGATCCAGCACGTTAATATCGGCGCCCCCGTTAAGGAGGGCCGATATCTGCACCTATTCCCTGCCTCGGCGAAGGGATACACGTGCCTTTACTGGTATAGTAGTAGGGGCTATCCGAGGCGGGTATAGTTCTTAGGGTACCTCGCCCGTGATATGGCCGACCGTGGGGCGGGATATAGATACCGGTTAGGTATTCGGGTTATTATTATTTATACTCGAACGCTGCGTCCGAGGGCTAGAGTATATAGTGGCGTAGTATCCCTTTTAGTTATAATTATAGTAAGTAATAGAGTTAAGGTACGATAATGGTCTAGGGCGTATAGAGTAACTAGGAGCAGAGACTAGTATAGGTGTAGGGGTAGATATAGGGGTGGGCATAGGGGTATTAGTAGAACCGTAGGTGGCCGTCTAGGTACCCTGTCCTAGGGCACGCGAACGAAAACGACGTTATTAGGTATTAGACTAGAAGTCTACTCGAGCGACGGCCAGCCCGTCGTTAACGGTTAAAGCCTTAGCCCTATAATAGACTAGGGCTAGGTCCCGGTAGTTCTTAGGGACCCCTATAAACACTATATAGTCCCGAATAGGTAGGAGGACTCTTATTAGTACTATCTAAATCCTCTACTAGTCTAGGAGCTCGCCTAGTAGCTCCGACTAAGGCTTCCTACCGTTATATAAATTTAGTATAAGATTCCCCCTCTTTTTAGGAGGAGATAGACTCGCTTTGGATCTATACCGCTACTTCCCGTAGGCGGGTATCGTTATTATTAACCTGGCGGGATAGCTAGGCTTATAGGGCGGCCTACCTAACCCTATTAGAGTCGCTATTGTACTTATATCGTAGTTTAGCCTACTAGCGTTCTTTAAGATAATAGGGGAGGCACGATATAATAAAGTAATTCTTCGTAGAGTCCGTAGGGAAGGACTAGGAATCTAGGTTAAACCGCTAATTCGTCTCCTAGATAAACGTGCGATACTTAGCCTAGGATATATTATCCTACTTAGGTAAGGGAAAATTAAACTTAGCCTAGGTAGCGGATCCGTGTATAGAAAACGTTATGGATATATCGTGGGTATACTAGGATCCTATTAGGGTTACGATAATACGACGTCAAGGTTTAGCTATACGATAGTGGGTAATATCGGCCCGCTAGGAATTAATAGTGGGATTAATAAAGGCGGTAGCAGTAATAGCGATAGTAGTAGTATCCGCCTTAAGCTTAGTAAGATAAGCGAGCTTACACTTACGGTAGTTCTATACCTCTATCTATTTAACGCGTTCGTCTAGTTATTTATCCGTTAGTATAGCTAGGTTAACGTCTACGTGCGGGGGCAGATTAGGATCCTATACGGGTCCCGTAATAACCGTAGTCTAAGAAACGGGGACGGTGATAAGGGCAGAGGCGGTAGCAGAGGTAATACTAGCGATAGGAGTAAGTATAAGGGCAGGAATAGGAACGGGTACAGGGGTAAAGGCGGTAGTAGAAACGGGAGCCGTATTAATTCCCGGCGTATTCCCGTTATATTCCTTATTAGCGTCCTCTATAAAGGCGGGTTCGCTATCGCGGAGCTATCACTCGAACTAGCTAGCAGCCTCGTTACAATCGAAGGTAGGATCGTTTATTTTATGATAGTTAGATATCTTAGTGACTCCCCTTGACGGTCTTCACGCCCTTAAAGGGTAAAGCGATTACAATATTAAATAGGTAGTCATGAAGAGTAAGAAGGTAGGGTTAAGTAAGGAACCAGGTATAATCACGATATGATCATAACGGGGTTAGAACGTGGGTATAGCCTAAGAATTAGATTAATCGCTAGCCTCCCTCTTTAAAGGGGAGGCTCCCTCGCTCCTTAAGGCTATGCTCTGCTCCTCGAGGACTACTTATTTACTTCCTCGAGGACTGCCTTATTTGCTTAGAGGGACTATCCTATTTGCTGTGTGATGACTTGCTTTGTTTATGCCTCGAGGGGTCTTAGACTAGGCACACCTAGATCCCTATGGGTTCACACTAGGGACCCATTATAACCACTGCTATAGGCACCTGACATTAACCCTTATCGTTCACGAAGTAATTAGTGTTTAGCGTAGGTAAGGCGCGTAGTAAGTCGTTATAGCAGAACTAGCTTAGACTAAAGGAGCGATGAATAGATTATAGCGTGCGGCGGTATTTCGATATAGGGCTAGACTATCGGTTATAATACCATAGAGCAATTAGCTAGATGTAAATACTAGGTAAGGCACCGTATAGTCTACGGGTATTACGGTTAGTCCTTAGAAGGCTATAGCCGCTAATAAGGTGCTTTTAACCTTCTTAGGTATAATTCCGGTACTATCCGGGTATCTAATCGGCGAGAATAGTTATAAAGTCTATCTAGCGGATAAAAGGCTTAGGTTATACTATAATAGCCGCTAGATTCGCGTTAAGCTTATTCTAGATAATAGATAGGAGCTTTTCCTTAGGCTTATCGGCGGCCTTAGCTAGGCGAATAACCTTATCGGCGAATACACGGATATCGCGGCGGAGTATTATATCTTTTAAGGTATACTTTTATTAGCATAGCTTATACTTAGCTTCCTCACGTAGGAGCCTAAACCTTTCCTAGAAAGCCTCTATTTAATCAGCTATAGTAGCGTCTTTATTAAAGAATTCTCGGCGGCCTACGTTAAGACTTATAAACTATACAGACGCTTTACTAAGGAGGCACCGTAATAGGCCGCGGGGTACGCTTTACTTATAATTATCGCTTAGACTAGCATATTACTCGATAATATTAGTAAAACGGTAAACGTCTATAAAGATAAGCTTAATTCTCTTAGTGTATATATCCTTTTTAGTACAGAAATACCGGGCAGGGTTAAAATAGCTAAGGTCGTTAGCCTTAAAACGGTAATTACTTAAGGGCGTTTAGTTATTTCGGAAATTAGCGGTACTCTACACGATAAATATAGTAAGGTTAGCCGGTTAAATATATATAAACGGCTATTATAGGCTTATACCTTAGTTATTAGGCGGGTTTAGCACGCCGCCTTAGCCATTTTAACCGGGGATACTAAGGGCGTTCCCTTAATTACTTTATCCTTAATTTATACCGCTATTACCTAAAAGCCTCCTTTAACTACTAGTGGCGTAGCCTTATATACTATTAGGACTAGTATAGTCTCTATAGCTTCCGGAGTTTCCTCTGGTATTCGCGGTCACGGTAATATAGATAATATCTAATAGGGTTAGGCTATAGTATTTATTCTTATCGTTTATAATTAGCGAATAATAGGTAGACTTAGTAGTATGGCGGTCTATAATAAAAGATTAGCGGTTAATAGTATCGGAAAAAAGTATTAGTAGCTAGTATTAGGAGGAAGGATAAACTAGACTATTAGCTAATACGCTATTCGCTAAGAGGGTATAGTATATTCCTTTTATCTTCTAAGAATCCGCTAATTATTATACTTATAATAGGGTGTAAAAGGAGTAAGCTTAGCCCCGCCCTTATATTATTATAATTAGGCTTAGGCTTAATAGTTAGAAGTTTAGGACTAGCGGTAAAGGGACGGATAGGCTATTTCCCTTTAAGATCCCGAGTTTAGCTAGGCCTTATAAGGAGTTCCCGGTAATAAGGCTCTTTATTTAGCTATTTAGTTATAGCGTTAGTAAATTTTACCGGCGTTATAGTCTATATTTAAGGGTATATAGGTTCCTTAGTAGATCTTATAACCGTGGTTCTTCCTCTTAAGGTTAAGGCGCCGCTAGTGCTAGGTAGGCTAAGGAGATTATAGGCTTACTTAGTAATGCGAAGTAGGGCGAGAACCTCGGGCGAAAAGGATTCCTCGGTAAAATCGGGATAATCGTTAACTAGCTTAATAATATTTCTTATTCTTTTTAGGTCCCGGAGGCGGGGAATATTATCGGCGGGGTTAGTATCGGTTATAATTCGGAGCTTTAAGGTTTTACGGCTAATAATTATTATAAAGGCGGTATAGATAGCGTTTAACGGTGTATAACCTAAGGACGGTAGTTCCCTTATATACTTTATACCTAAATTTATTAAAGGGGAGGCGTTTTCGTCTAGCGATAAGCGGTTAAGCTATTCCACTTAATAACTATAACGGACGCGGCGGCGTTATATAGCTTTTATAAAGCGGCAGTATATAAACCTCGCGTAAAACTTAGTTATTACTACTTAATATACCCTAACTAGGTATATATCTAGCTAGCTAGTACTCTTAGACCTAGGAGCCAGGCTTTTCTAAAGGGGTAACCTTAGGGTGCCGTAAAGGGTAGTAAAATAAAATATTTTCTCTAAGCTAGACGGGAGCACGCCCCCGGGACTTCCCATACCTACGGGTAAACCCCGTAGAATCCTTAGTATCTACGTATATAATCCTCCGAGTGCCCTAGGGTATCCCGCGAACTCTATAGTATATACCGGAGGTATCCACGGTATATCCTATAGATGCTATAATATATACCACGGTACCTCTAAGGTACGCCTATAGTATACTAAGGTATACCCGGAGGTATCCTAGGGCGTATTAGCAGTCTTTCTAATTAGGAAGACTGCGAATATACCTTAAATACTATTAAATAAGGGGTATATAGTATAACCCGTATAATTATACTCCGTATAGTATATCGAAGCTAACGGGGCATAATTAAAAACTATAGGATACCACCGGTTTATTATAGATATTAACGTCTATTTAGATCTTATTCTTATAACTTAATATCTCGTGATCAAGCTAGTATCTTATGCCCGCATTGATGAGAGAGGAACGCACGCATACTCCACCTATACGAATGCTACCGCATCTCGAACGCCCTCCGGGAAGTACTTCATCGTCCCTCGGGGAACCGGAAAATCCTTTTACCGGCGCGGCTCGGGTTCCACGGAGTAGGTAGCCTGGCATGAGTAATCTCTGGTCAAACATCCTCCTTTGTTTGGCCTTGACCATCTTGCGAGTTCTTCGTCTCCCACTGTCCCCGTACCACCGACCAAACGCGCACTTTCGCACACGCTTTCTACGCCGCAACCAGAATTCCTGACCATCTCCGCGTTTCCTTTACTCTCCCTTCTACGTTGCAATAGGACTGTGCAAAGGCTTTTCCCCTGCACAGCCACCTCCACACATCCCACTACCTCACCACCCCAGCTTTATGCAGAATTGGCCTACCGAGTCATTAGAACAACCTTCGTCGACCAACCCCCGAGAAACCCTTCCTCCCATTCAAGATGGCTTTTTTGATCAGCAGCCTTGCCGGCCTGCCCAGCTGCACCGCGCCGGTGGCTCGGGCAGCGCGTCACCTCGTCGTTCGCCAGATAGAGGACAGCCCGGCTCATCAAGCAATGGTGTCAATGCCGACCAGCTCGGTGAACAATTACGCAGATTGAGCGTCGGCAGTGGCCACTCCACTGGTCGTCGAAGCGTACCTGGTCAGCGCATCATTGATTATGAAAACGCCATGATCCCGTCAGTCCCTATTGAGAGCTGCGGCTTTAAGGTCGTCAAGCGAGTAGGACCTGCGTCCCGAGGCGTGCAGTTGACAGACTTCCCAAACGGTACGGCACGAAATGTTATCTCTCAAACCTGGACGGATTGGGACGTGTTCCAGCTAACAGGAGTGTGGCCGCTTGACAGAGATATTGACCCACATCCTGTCGCATCTTCATCCCGACTCTCAAGCGTCTGTGGCACTGGTTTCGAAGCGGTTTTACTCCCTTATCACCATGCCACACGTATGGCGAATGGCCTTCTTGCGATACTTTTCGGGGCACGAGAGCATGAACTTGCTGAAATCCGAAAAGCCCGGCTCTGGTCTTCGCAAGCAGGAACACACAGATATCGTGCGGTCCGAGACGCGATATTTTGCTCGTCTGACCTCCCTCGCAACTTGGCGTAGCGAATATCTGCTTCGCACCCGTCTTCTTCGTGGCCTCGTACGCGGCAAGCCAGGCTCCGCCTTGGCCTCTGGGATAGGCGCTTCAACTAGGACGAGCAGGAAGCTCAGTGCCGTCCTGACATACAACTCTAAGCTGCCATGGGCTGTAACCAACCTTGAGGTGGTATTTTCTTCCAACGGCAAGAAGTCTCCGCGAGCTGTCCACGGTTCTGCTGATTTAGGTGTCGGCACCATGAGCGATCCCACTCTTGGGAAAGCGGAAAAGTGGGGGTTTGACGACCCGTTCACGACTCAACAGCTCGATGAGGCATTTCCTGACCTCGAGCCGTACGGAGTGGGAGAAGGCCCTGCCGCTGGCCCTAATGTCATGGACGTCAGCAGTCACTATGGAATCCTGTCGGGGGAAGGTTTTCCAGGCGGTCGTGCATACTATCGGTCCATACACGAAAAGTGCGGTCGATATCTGGGTCACGGCACAGCCGTCGTAGACACCTACGCGGATATTCCAAAGATTCCAGAATTGTCCGAAGCCATTTCTAGCGTCTGGATCGCCAAGTCGTCCGCTGCTACGTCCGCAACCCAGTCGATGGTGGGCATGTTGACGGGCTCGACCTTGGGTGTTGTGACGTCCTACGCCCTGGGCTGTGATACAAGCGGGGCGCTGTTCTCTAACGGCGACATGACGGCACGATGGGTTCTTAGCCCCGGGGTTCCAATCATTGCCCTTACGGTCGACGATCAGTACAGCCAAAAACGGAAGACAGCCATGCGCGTCTGGGCAGTAGCGCTAAACGCACTCGGCGAGGTGTTTTATCTCACGGAACCACTTGTTCCAAAGCTTGACCGTGCCAAGGGGCAGGATAGCATAAAGAACGCCTGGCATGCTGGTCGCTCTGTCTACTGGCACTTGGTAGAGCAAACTCGCCGCCGCGCTCGCACCCATGACACCGACAAAAACGTGATCAAGGGAACGTACTCGCCTCGATCGCCCGCGGACGCGATGAACCTGAGCAAGGAACAGCTCGTCGCCGAAGCTCGCGAGATGGAAAAGTTCCTACGTCACAAGCCATCGCATTTCCGAAAGGCGTGCGACGGATGGGACATGCGGAGGAGGCTCGAGGTGGATTTTGCCAATGATGATGGGGCTGGCGCGGGAGAAATTGTTATCGTCATTGCATCTGGATGGGAGAAAGGCCCGGGGCCCAGTGTGACCCGGTACATTCGATCGTTGACGCCGCCGAGGACCGCGGGCGTACTCACTCCTGCGCCCACTCGTGCATCCACTCCTGGACCACCAGCCACCCCGGCACATTCTCTTCCGGTCAAGTCTATATTCGGCGGCGATGATAGTCTGGCTTCCACGCTAGCTGCGACGGTAACTGAGACTGACGGCGGTTCATCTACCCCGCGAGGTTCGCCAGCTCAGATTCCAGCGGATGGGGTGAGTGACTGGGTTGTCACCACGCTGGGCCTCCTCGGTCATAACAAAAGCGAGCTCACCGCGTCAGCTCTGGATTTGTCGTTTCATGCCGTCCTGACACATGCCGAGGATCCGCTCTGGGACACCGGCAAGATTTCTACCCCGATGGCTGCCACGAGCGATACCCCCCCGACAAGTGCCACCGCTACACCCCCAGAGATCCCAGGCAGGAGAGCCCGTATGTGTGCTGTGGGTACAAAGACTGGGTGTGTTCTCGTCTGGAATGTTCGAGAACCGAGTCTTTCGTCTGCGCGACTCGACCCCGTTCGCGTCATTCAAACCGAATCACCTGAGATCTCATGCCTGGCTTTGAACGGCTTGTATCTTGTCCATGGGGGAAGCGACGGGTTGGTCCAGGCCTGGGATCCGTTGACGTCAACGCAAGATCCACTCCGCACCCTCAACGCGCGGCCGTCCGGCAGAGTGCCCCGTCACATGCTTACGATGAATCCGGCCCTGCGCGGCGAGGATTACTCGGCAGCGAGAGCCATCGCACTTGACCTAGACCCGACCATTCTCAGGGGCGTTGTGTCTTTCGGCGCCTTCCTGCGTTACTGGACGTATAGTGCTACGGGTCAGTCTCCCGGACGAAAACGCCGATTGCGCCATTCCGACGTGCACGGTCGTCTCGCCAGCCGCCGACAGGGCGGGAAGGTTGCTGGTTACATTGCGGCCGAAACTGCCGAGCTCCGTCGCGAACAAGAGCACCAAAGCCGTGAACTAGCTAGGCTGCGCAACAGATTTGGTGTCGGCGGACTGACGGAGGAAGAGGCTATTCGGTATGCGCAGATGATTTCCGAGGAGTCTTTCATGCTCGATGAGCAGCGGCGCACCAGTGCCAGCGACACTGGATCGGCAGCCGATGCGAGCTTCGACACGGCTTCGTCGTTTAGCGAAAGCACGGCGTCGACCATGACACCCGAGCCCAGCGTGACGGGGGTTCCCGGCAGCAGCACCTTCAACCCTCCTCCAACACTGGAAGAAGAAGAGAGCGAGTATGAAATGCAAGTACAGCAGGCATTGCGTCTATCTCTGCTAGAAGGTGTTGATGGTCAGGGCCGACCCCCTCGCGGCAACGGAGCCGGGGACTACGAGGTCCCTATCACGTACAAGACGAAGCCTACCGGGAAGGGAGCCAGGTCGAGTTCGATGTCGACGTCGGCATCGCCCTCGAATGGCCACTTGATGATGGCAGTCAATGTCGGCTCGTCCAGCAGCAACACTGCCATGACTCAACAAGAGGAGGACGACCTCGCGTTGGCCATTGAACTCAGCCTCCAAGAGCATGGAACGATGGTTGATGACGGAAACGTCAGAGACAGTGCCGTTGACGAAGAGGAGTTTCCTGCTCTTGACGTCTCGGGTAAAGGCAAGGGGAAAGCGAGGGTCTGAAGGGGTGGTTCAGAACAGCAGGGGTTTTTTTTTTTTTTTTTTTTTTTTTGCCTTTTGGATTTTGTTTTGTGTTCTTGTTCGCCTCTTTCTCCTCTGTCTTCCTTTCTCCTTCGCCCAGTTTTCTTTTTGCCCAATTTGGCCGACTTCCTCCCATCAGGGTGATCGGGCCGTCGTCTTTTGACTTCACTTTTGTTTCTCTGTGCTACGATAATAGCATATAATCAATCGTTAGCTCGCGTCTTCGGGATCTATGGCATATATCTTGTCCCCGTGTCACTGTGTTCCTGTGCGTGTACGGCCTTCGGGTATGTTCATGTGGACTAGACCCTAGCCTCCTTGAGCCGTACCACAATCAAACTCTTGGTATGTTTTCAAGTCGCTTGTGATCATTGCATTGAGATGGTAGTATGCTTGCCAATGACGGCTGCTTCTGGGACTAGCTAGTCCATATCATGCCGTTTACTAGATCATCACGAAGTGATCTGACCGTCCCTATGGTCTTCTAGTGGAAGGGCAAACGGACGTCCTTTCACAAACCGTACAACTTTCGACGACGTTTCATCCGATTGGAAGATAACATGGGGGGAGATGTGGTGATGGACGTGAACGCAGTGTCCAGTATCTGGCAGGTTGCTCCGGCAGGACAGGATGCTACCATGTGGGACATGATCGCCATCCATCCCTCCCACGAAGACGGGAAGCTGGGGCCTGAGAGCTTGGAAACACCGGCAACACGTATTTCTACGACCTGACAGGATGGAAAGAAAGTTGAAGAGTCAGCATCAGAAAATGCATCCATGTGTCACGCTCACCCTCGCGCTCATGCTACGATCACACCGATGGGCCTGCCAACTTGAAAACGGGCAGGGATCACATGCCCAAGCAGGTATTCTGTGCTACCATATCTCCTGCCACCAGGTTAACTGGGCGAACAGGTCCTGCGCCTTGCCATCTGTGTCGCAAACGCCAGTCTTCCGCATACAGGCGATGACGGCGTCCCGACACGCCATGGCCATCTTGCTGCTCCCGCCGCAGACGATAAAGATGGCATCCTCGCGAACCAGCTCCGCGACAACATCGGCCTTCTGCCGAACGATGTCCTGGATGTAAATCTTTTCCTTCTGGTCTCGGGAGAAGGCCGTAAACACCCTCAGCTTCTCGGTCGGGAGAGCAGCCCACTCGTCGGCAAAGTAATAATCCTTCTCGCGGGAGCGGTTGCCGAAGAAGAGGACGGCGCGGCCCGATTTGTCGTAGCTTAGACGTTCTTGGACGAGGGCGCGCACAGGGGCGATGCCGGTGCCCGTGGCGAGGGCGCACAGTGGTCGCTGGGCGTGAAGCGGCCCGTTCAGGCGAGTCAGGCTCGGTTTATGTGCGGCCAGCACGGGAGCGCCGACGGACAGGGAGGTGAGGTATCGGGAACAGAGACCCGTGCGGATCTTGCGGAGGACGGTCTGATATTTTACCAAGGCGACGAGGAGTTCGACGGTGTAGGCCGTGTAGGGGCTGTTGGCGGTGGCTCCGGGGTGAGCCGACGGAGAAGGCCGGATGCTAGCAATGCTGAAGTCCCGACCGCGGATGATGGGGAAGACGTCGAGGGCGTATGCCGGGGGGATTTTGACGGATTGGAAGTCCTCGAGCACCTCAAGGATGGTACGGCGTGGACGCGTCGCGTAATCATAATACTCGTCAACATAGTCTACCTTGGAAAACTCAACCAGCCGCTCCTTGTGATTGACGTCGGTGCAGTGGTGCGAGATGGCCTCCAGAAAGCTGCGTCGGGGGATGGCGGTGATATCTAGGTTCTCTGTGAGCAGGCGGCGAAGGGTCGTGTGGCGATCAGTGTACAGTCCCGTCGCAAGTTCGCCGCCGATGGCTTCCAAGTCCAGAGGCCGATCCGCAACGTCAGCCCAGTCCATACACTTAATGAGCCTATCGACGTCCTCTGGTGAGTTGCGCGGGTAGAGCCTGACGCAGTCGCCTGGGTGGATGGAGAGGGGTTCGGGGCGGAAATGGTATAATTCAAGCCTGATCAGCCGGACATCTTGCCAATGCCCCGCTGGCGTCACTCTGTCGTTCGCGTCGAGGATGGCCAGGACACTATCGGGCGTAGCCATAACCGCGCCGGCTGATAGAGGAGGAGGATGATAATGGCTTTTAGCGGCGGGATTCTCCAAAAAGGGAACCTCTGGTGTCGAATCCCTAACGACTTCAAGCACTCCAAGGTTCTCGATTCGGCGGAAAAGCTCCCGTCTCCCGACCTCGTCGAAGCCATCAGGTTCATGCACGTTCCGTAGGTTCACATGCGCGCCTATCGGAAGAGTGTACCTCGGCGGTAGCAGAGCCTCATCGGGAATAGGAGTAAGTCCGTCTGGTAAGGGATACTGTTCCAGGAGCTTTGCGCGCAGGCCGGTCGACCACGGGAGAAATGCTTCATCGATCCTAACCTTGCTGTTAGTGGAGCCCCGTAGAATATCGTTGCACGGGTTGGAAGATCCAGAGCGTATCAGACTAGGATGGTGGCGGGTAAGAAACACATCTCATGCTCCATCAACAAAACGGATCTGTCGGACCCGAAAGCCCCGTGCTCGGTTGGTACCGGACGGAAAAGCCATGCGCTCGGCATGGAGTGTCGACCGGAGTGACCGACGCGCCACATAACACAAAAACAACACCGGACTGCTCTTATAGCACCCTAAGCCACACCCGGAGAAGCAAAACGAGGAGATTCAGGGGGGACCGGAGGATGGACTGGACAAAAGAGATAAATATGCACCTACCCATCGTCGTCCTGCTCGTCGCCTTCTCCCCGAGAGTAGAATTCTTCTGCGCCGAGCTGCCCAAGACGCTTGTGGAGTTTCCGGACCGCCCAGTTGAATCTTTGAGCAGGGATTCCAGGTTAATGATTAAGAGCTGTAAGGGAAACCAAGAATAACCCTTCATGTTACACCGATGAACACCGATGAGACGGACGGACAGAGAGGACTGGACACTGGACACTGGACACTGGATCAGAAAACAAACATACCTGGGGTACGAACTATCCCCCAAACCGAACGTGGTGAACTTCAGGGTGCCCATACATCCCGGAGCAAGCTTCTTTCTCAAAAGGCTCTTCCAGAAGATGAGGGAATTCTGAGGCATGTCTCCCTGGCCGGTTGTGGACAAGACAAAGATGACCAGCGTATAACGAAGAGTTTCACTCTTTCGGTTGGGACACGTCAACTCGAATTTCCCAACATCATGATCAAGTCGTAAAGGGATCTCGACTGATTCAAGAAGAACGTCCCGGGGACAAACTCACAAGCTTGATGGCATTCATCTCATCCACCTTAGTTTTGAAGTGTAGACGCTGGACCGTCCTCCCGAGTTCTTCGGCGATGTCCTGACTATTCCCCGTCTCGGAGCCATATAAAACCAATACTGACCTCCCGGGGATGTCGGCCACCTCGACAGGCGTATCAGGCTTTATGGAGGCCATGATGTCTGGGATCAGATGGGGGGAGGTCGCAGAGTCAGAGTGCAAGGGCCCAGCTCGGGATGGATTCCAAGAAACACGGAGGCCCCGACGTACACCAATACAGCCAGCCTGTAGGTTAGGGATGAACTTGTCTTCACGAGGTGTCGTTGGGGAACCGACCTGGAGGCCGACTTACTCCGTACGAAGAGTAATCGAATTATTCGTGAGGCACCTTAATTGGGCAAGTGGCGGAAACGTGTTGCGGAGGCCGGTCGGCCGGTGTCGGTCTTCATCGGGCTCTGCGCCATCCATATTCGACTAGGTAGGTACCTTAGTAATGAGGTAGATCGTAGTACACCGTACGGACAATTACCTTACGCATACAACGTAGTATCCGGACATACGTACTTCGCTTCGTGTCGGAACATAAATAAGGTACGCGGAAGTATGTGTGTATTTATCTAAGTGAAGTTTGTGATACTTTATAGGGATATCTAACTATACGGAAAAAGCTGGGGAAATAAGGGTGGATATATAGTACCGAGGTACTCTATACGTCTAATATAATATAGTTTATCACACCTCGATAAGGTGGCTATAGGTATCTACTACACCCCCCTAGAATAGTAGGATTAATCCTAACTATTCTGCTTGTTAAATTAATGCTTAAAATCCAGGGTAAATCGGGCCTAGATATTAATTAACGGCGTTATAGACGTTAAAGCTAAAAAGCAGTTAAAAAGTATTAAAAACAGCACCTAAATAATAGTCTATAGGGACATAAAAACACTTAAAATAACGGTCTAATTAACCGTTTTCCTTTAATTAAAACGTAATAGAAGACTATTATCTCTGTTAATTGCTTTAATCCTATCTCGGCAGGACCTCTATACTAAGCAGATATATAAACTCCCTGTGTTTTTACGGTAGGAGTACCTTTATAAAGCTATCGCTGACTATATCGTTAGTAGGGATCTAATTAATTAAGACGGTCCCCTTTTAGACGGTTTATCAGATCTAAAGGGCGTGGATATCGAGATACTTTAATTTCGAGGTAACCTACGGCCTAGAGGATTCTAGTAGCTGCTTAGTTTATTAATTATCGTAGTATACTATTAGTGGTTCCTCCTTAAAGGTTAACGTTAGGTCCTTTATTAAACGTATTATCGCGATATACTACCTAGTAATAGCCGAAAGCGCTATAAGCTCGGTTTTAGTACTAAGGGTCACGACGCTTATTTACTTATTAGCCTTCTAGTCTATTAGACCCCCGAATAATAATATAGTATAGCCTTAGGAGCTATACTAAGTCTTACGGTTATTAGCAAAGGCGGCGTTAGAAGTATAAAAGAGTATAGGGTATTAGTGGTCTTTACGTGGTCCGAAATAAAGGTATAGTGTTTTCGTCGAGCCGAGATACTTTAAACACCTATCTACGGTATCGTGATACTGTTTTAACGGGTTAGTGCTGAATTCGGTAAGCCTCGAAGCGGCTTTAGAGATATTAGGTCGGGTTTAATAGGCGGCGTAGTTAATAGAACCGACCTTCCGAAGATATAGATGGATTAATTCTTCGGAGGCTTATTAGTCGGTAGGCTATAGAATTTTAGGCTAAGGAAGAGGGCTTTTAACCCTACGACCTCTATAATCCACCTATAATGCCTTTATCTTATCGGTGATATAGTTATTAAGCGATAACTATAGCTTACGCTATTAATAATCGCGTTCTACATGGATTCCAAGGAACTACCTAATTAGCCCTAAATCCCTGATCTAGAAGCTCTTCTATATCTATTTTACTAGATTATTAGCTATAGATTTATACTCCTTACGGTAGATTAGGATAATATTGTTAATGTAGAAGAAAGTAATTAGGACCTTATTCGTAAAGACGTAATCGTCTTCGGTTAATTACTTTAAACCGTACTTACTTAGTACGGAAGAGAGCTATTAATACTATAGCTTTAGGGAATGCTATAGACTATATAATACCCGGTATAGCCGTTAAATCCCGCTGTGTTATATAGGAGGGCGTTACTTTAAAAGGTCCTTAAGCTATTCGTGGGCGTTAAGGCCCGTAGCTAATTAAAGTAACTACTAACCAGGGGGATCCTTAATATAGATTTCCTCGTTAAGTAGGGTATTAGTGAATACGTTAACGGTGTTAAGTTACCGAGTCTCGAGATCGAAATAGGCTATAATACCTATTAGCGACCTAAAGGTCCTTCTAGTAAGGATGGAGGCGTAGGCGTTAAGGTGGTTATTAGCTTATTAATCCCCTTAAACGTAAAGGCGTGCCTTAAACTTATTAACGTAGCCTATAGGATCGACCTTATACTTAAAACTTATTTAAGGTCTAGTGGCCTTAGAACTGATTTAGATAGTCCCGAGCCGTGCCCCTATTAGTAGGACTATTCCCACCGTTTAAAGGTGCCTATTAACCTAAGCGTGCCGACCTCCTATAAGGCGGCTTAATCCATTCTAATTTATAGGGACTCTTTAGTATTTAAGACTAGTTTAGAGATTCCTTAGGTATATCGCGGTGTAGTAGCGGCTTCTTCGGTATCTCGATCTAATTATAGAAGGTATAAAAGGAAGGAGGGGTATATCGGTCGGTTGGACGCCTATTACAGGTAGGCCGGTCGGTAGCGGCTGTCGGTATAATAGGAGGGCGGCTTCTTCTGCTAGAGGAAGAGGAAGGATGGTTAGTAGTGGTAGTGGAAGAAGAGGATTACGAAGACTTAGCTGTAGTAGGTGGCTCTGCCGTAGTAGGAGCCGTAGATGCCGGATTAACGGTAGTGGTAGTGGTTAATTCCTTTCTAAGAACCGATTAGTTAGAGGATAATAATCCTATTTTGACAGTATCGCTGGTTACGGCCGTATTGTTAGATTAATCTTCGGTATTGTTGCCCTTGTTAGATTGTTTAAAAATAGGCGGTAGATCCGTAGTTCTGGTTAGTAGTGTAGGAGGGCCGTTTATAGTTATTAAAGGGGGGAAAATAGGTGCCGTTAGAGGTATAATTATAGGTATAATTATAGAAGACGTTAAAGTAGGTGCCGCCGGAGGCGTGGAAGGCGTTATAGGGCTTGTTTGCCCTGTTCCACGTGCCGTTTGATTAGGTGCCTCCTGCTATTATTGTTCTTCTGCAGATTCTGTAGTGGTTATTGAACCTGCACCTCTATCCACTCCCCTAGAAGCAATAGTAGTAATAGCGGCGATAGCTATAGTGGCCGCCGTAGTAGTAGCCTCCGCTATTACCTCCCTTATAGTATTCTGCTTTAGTAACGTTTAAGGGTAAAGATTAAACACGTTAGTAGTAATATCTAGAGGATCGTGGAGTTAATAATCTATAGGTAGATTAAGCTGCTCGAAAACCTTAATTAATGCCTTAGGTTCGTGGTCACGGTCTTTATATAGCAGTTTTTCGCTAAAGGTAACGTCTCTTGTCCGTAGGATCCTCCCTAAATTTGGCACCTAAATCCGATATATATTAGTGCATTTATAGCCGATTAAATAGCCGATATATACTCTTTCCACGAGCTTAGTATTACGATTACGACCTTATTAATAATCCGCGGTTAGTAAATAGGCTCTATAACTATATCTCTTTAGGTGGCTAACGATAGGCTTCATTAGGATCTTCTTTAGACCTTATTTATTAATATAATCCTTTATCTGCCCTTAAGGGGTTTTCTACTAGAGGTCCTTTTAAGGGATAAAGTTATATAGATATACTATAGCAGCTACTAGTTCTGGCTATATATCCTATTAGATGCCTAAGGCCGTTACGAGGGTTCTCGCGATAGTAAAAATACCGCCGTGGCATTCTGCGTTCGGATTCTGCGCGGCTATATATGGCGATAACCTCTTAAGCAAAATCCCTCTCTTATCGGCCTATTTATCGAAGCCTTTCTAAAGGGATCTTTCCCTATTTAGGCAGATTACTATAATTATATAGTAGTACTGCCTTTAAAGGAAGAACTTAAAATGTACTAATATAGATAAGGCTAATTTATAGTCACGCAGGAACTATATAATAGCTTAACAAGTATAGGGATTATATAAAAGCATCACGACCTTTATACCGTTATAGGCCTCGTTAAGGCTACAAAGGTTAACCTTTACTCTATACCACGGTATCGTTATTTAGTGGTTAGGCGACTATCTGGATATAATCTTCTTTGCCTTACTAAGGGTATAAGCCTTATAATCCACTACAAGAGGACCTTTTCCTTTAATAACGCCTCTAATAAGGGTATCTCTAATTTTATCGAGGGCAGTAATACCTATATGCCCTAGCCTCTCATGCTATAAATACGCGTCTACCACGCTTATAGTAGGCGTTATAGAGCTATTAAAGAAGCTACTTAGTAGGTGCTATTAACGATCCGTTAGAACGAGAGCGTATTAATCATTAACGTTATTTAGAGGTAGGGCTAATAAGCCCTTTCCAACTTTTAGCACTTTAAGGCCGGAATCAAAAACGATGCCCTATTCCTTTAATCTTCTGGTTCCGATTAAGGTTATTAGGTAGTCTTATATAAAAGTAACGTAATTTAGCATTAAAATAAAGGAATTACTATATTTATCGTCCACTTCTAATTATATCCTACTATAACCCTTAACTAGCTTAGTCTCTCCACCATCCGTTTAAAAACAGTGCTCTTCTATAGTAGGTTCGAAGTCCTATAGTAAGTGTTATTAGTTAGTAATATGCCTAGAGGTGCCGGAATCGATTAATAGCTGGTTAAAGAGATTACTACTAACGCTTTCTTTTCCATTAATCTATAGGAGGGAGTATATCCTATAGGATTCCTTATCGGAATCCTCCTTTTAGTTATCGATAAAATTAGATACCTCCGTCGACGATTCTTTCGGCTATAACTGCTAAGAGTCCTTTTTAGTACCCGTTTTTAGGCTTTTAGCATCCTTTTCGATATTCTCCCGGAATCTCTTTTAACGTTCGTTATCCTAGGTCTTAATAATCTGGTTATAGCGTTCTAAGATCTCTTTTAAAGGTGTGTATCCCTTTTTCCTGCGTGCTTTATTAATATTTAGGCATTTCTATAGAGGCTTATAATTATATTTACTCCTTTTCGTAATACGGTAGTCGTATAACTACTCCT